GGCGGCCTGTGTGCAGCACATTCAGCTGGAGGACATCATAAACGAGAGATTCAATTGAGTCTCGGGTGGAAACCAAATTGATTTGCAAATGAGTGTATTTCTCGAAATCCACCGATTGTTTACCAAATCCCTCTGAAACGATGACTTCTCAATCGGTCCCAAATATTTTCCAATTGATTGAGATCACCTACCTCATTTGACATACTTTGAAGACGCTTCCTTGCTTTCCTTCCTTCACATCCAATTAGCAAACATATTTTGGATTGTGCGCCAGAAGTATATAACTACCTTTGTGGTATTCTATTTCCGGAAGAAGTGTGCAATCTTGATATTCCGCACACAACACTGTCAAAGATTTATCTGTTTAGCAAGTCACGTGATGGCCTAGTAATATAGAATAAGCAACATGCATTGTTCTGCTAACGGATGCAGAACTGTCAATGAAAATGATGAAAACCCATCGACTGTCCACTCTGTTTCTCCGAGGTAAGCGTTTGTTCAGAATGTTTTCTAATCTCGTTTTGTACGTGAACATCAAGCTTCACTTACACTGAGATGACCGATAATCTGTGGTCAAAGGTGACACCCTGATGAGCCTCCAGTCCTTCGGTAACCCTTCGGTAAGCAAGATATCGAAGTAGGATTCTTGATTAGAATCTGTCTTTGAGAAACAAAATGATTCGGCGACAACTCGGTAGAAGGGTACAAAAAAATAACAAAGTATTTTAAGTCCCAAGGTACTAACAAATCATTTTGTAAATGAACGCTGCAAGTCACCAGATTTCCCGAATTAGATCATCGTAAGTTTTATCCGTGGTGCTGTCGATAAACCGTTTACAAAAAACTGCCAGCTTGGCGCAAGTATCAAGAAGTCAGGCCTTGGCACACATTGTGCGCATTTCACAAAACGGAACAGGAAACTCGAGCTGGATTTCCAACTTATCTACAGAAATGAAAAAGACTACGCATGACGTAGTTTGCTCTGGAAAGTAATCCAACGCGCCTACTGCCAATCAGATTGTGGACAGATTGTGGGACATCTGACAGCCCCCGAGTGTTCTGCGTATCGACTGAAACAATAAATCAAAAACAGCAGGTCAGTTTGTCGGGTATCCGAACCCAATGTTAGGTTTATTTCAGTTTTCCCAAACTTTGGTTATGGAAACATGTATATTTTTTCGCTGAATGACATTCAAAAACATCCATAAGTGTTCTCAATTGATAAGGAGATTGTTGTCTGGTTCCCATCGTTCGATTCTCGGTGAAAATGAGTAACTGATCACTCAAAAAGAGCCTTTTTCAAAAACGGTTAAAGAGGTCGCTGAATGAAATTATAAATATAACTCCCCGTAATAACTAATTTCATTCATAGACGTAACACACTGTTGATAAGGTTGCTGAAAAACGAGAGATTCAGCTGGGTTCCAAGGAGTCTCTCGCAAAACTAAATTTGTTTTCAAATGAGTGTACTTCACTAACTTCGTGCAATTTGGGTTCAATTAGAACATAAGGTTGACGGAAACTCGGAGACTTCGCCTAATTGATGGGCTCCAAGAAGGGCAAAACCGGTCGTGAGCTGTCGAAGAATTTTCAGCAGCCTTATCAGTAGTGTATTACGTCTATACAGATATCGCGATATACAGAACATCGTACCAACCGAAACATGGGGCGGCCTGGTGCAGCACATCCAGCTACCTGGAAACATCACGAACTAGAGATTCAGCTGGGTTCCCGGTTAATCTCCCGCAAAAACAAATTTGTTTCTAGATGAGTGTATTTCGCTAATTTCTTTTATGCTCCTGTTAGAACCTATACGAGTGTCAGTATCCTCTGTCCAGTGTCACTAAATTTCAAAATGCGAACGTTGGGTGACGCTTAGATACCTCTGACCGAATTTTTATAAAAACGGAAACAAACAGGCTCATCTACTAAAGTTAGCCCTGGAAATACATCTCAAAATATACTGTGAAGGGCTTTTTCTCCCGTGAATCGCATGCAATAGGATGCGAGAGTGTAAAAATGGTGACAAGGTAATGGCATCTAACTTGTGTAACAAACAGAAGCATTTAGCATGCAGTCAATGAATGTACCTCATTTAGCTAGCAACTGTCATA